ACTTAATGTGATCCAAAAACGGCAGTCAATTACTTCTTCGAGTCACAGCTCCCTCACTCCTGAAGAGATGGCATCAGTGATTGACTCAAAGGATAAAAGAAGGTTGTTGACTTCTTCGGCAAAAATTTCCTCGAAAATTGATTGATATGAAAAAAATTAGAAATGACTTAAAAAAGGTCTCCATTTTGTCGCAGGACTTATTTGCCAACCTAATATAATAGTATATCATTAGAAAGCGCATTTCTTGCTCTTACTGAGTGTTGCATCAGCTTCGCCTCATAGTGACATCCTAGCTTTTGCAGAAGCTTAGAAAAAACAGGAGGACAAACGAAATTCCGTAACGGCGACGGAAGTCCCGAAGACAGTGACGCTTGGTGTTCGACGGCTGATTTAATTCATCATAGCTTTTGGAACCGGGCGAAACTATCACAGCTGAAGGATACTGCCAGGATATCGACGGCATGTAACAGAAGCTGCACCTCATGAGCTCTGAATTGGTGAGCAGGAAGGGCCGATCCTCCTCCACGATAGACACCACCCTGAAGAAATTAAACGAGCTTGGCTATGAAACTCTGCCACGCCCACCGTACTCAACTGACCTCGCTCCAACTGACTACCACTTTTTTAAGCATCTCGACAACTCCCTCCGAGAGAAACGTATGAACAATCGACACGATGACAAATCGACCTTCCTCGAATGCGTCGCTTCTAGATCTCCAGAGTTTTATGCAACCGTGATAGGCAAACTCGTTACTCATTGACAAAATGTGTATATAATGATGGTTTTCATTTCGATTGATCAAGTTTTGTTTGAGCTGAGATATGAGCATTGAAAGTTGAGCGTTGAAAAACGACAGAACTTTCTGAAATACCTAATATCTAGCAAAGACATGTTCAAATAATTGCACCGGAACATATTCACCATCTACGTCAAGCACTGCTTCCCATTTCCAAGGCGGTCGGATTCCACGAGCGAAAATGGTCCGATTCTTGGAGGCGATCACGCCTTGACGTTGGCCATCAGACCATCCCCTTCGTCGAAAGTTCTGTTCGTTAACCGATTTTTCAATCAACATGAAAATCCATAGGAGTTTCTATCGGTGAATAGGGCGACCATAAAAGCAAATTCCATTCTTTATTCGGCTTTGGCTGACTATTCAATCGCCGAGAAGTTCGTTGAGATCACGTTATGAGTGTGCCGCCTTCCAACATTTCTCGAAGTAATAGAGCATAATTTGGCGTATATGAAGATGATTTTCTAGACATATTTTTGTTAAGGAAAGCGAAGAAATCATTTCCAAAAATCCCGAATCCAAAAGTTTAAATTTAACGAGAGAAAAAAGCCGCGAAAAAATCCGCATTAATTATGCATCAGCCTAATAGTCAAAAAGTGGAAATATATCGAATAAATCAAAAAATACAACTGCGGTCCACATGTGGACTGCACCGTCACACGGCCAAAAATAAAAATGCAGCATGAGTCCTCGACCTCCACGATTTATGGGCGGCGGGCGTCGGCGTCGCTACTGTGAACGCAACCATCCTGGGCGAACAACTGAGTGAAATTTTAACATGTATGATCCATAGTGAATGGTGCACACTTGGGAGTACACATGGTATTAAAATCAAAGTCGTCGATACACGGCAGCTTCTGGCTCACCAGCGGCGTACTTTAACACTTACTGCTCTCAATCTGTGCTGTTTTCCGATCCAACCATTTCTACTGTAGCATCCGTAGAGGCCATAGATACCTCCCAGTAATGGTTCTCGGAATCTATTTTTATAGTGGACTGTACCTTTATGCTTCAGACCTATTTTCACAACACGGTGAGCAGCACTATGGTTGTAGTATTGCAACCTAAGTATTTTAAGTATCTGTGCTGTGAATTTCAGGTCCGCCCCATTTACAGTCTGCCGCGTGATTACCACGTAGAGTTAAATGGATATTAGGGTTATATCGAAACTTATCCACTTGATCGAGATCTTCGAAGCAACTAATAAAAACTTACGTTGACGGGGAGTTCGTCGCAATTTCGAGGCTCCTCTTGTGAGATGACATCCTGACATCAACGCGATATGCTCCAAAAAGCCGAACCAATTCATCCTTCAGTGCCTGGGAGTCTCTCGAAGAAACCTGTGAACATACCATCAAATCAGAACCTCACCTGTGTTATCAGAGATCGAGTGGGGAAAAGATCTTGCTGGTATTCTTTGTTCGGTATTCGAGCAACTGCTATGGCGTTGCCCGCTTTCTGCACCGCTTTTTTGTCCTCACAACTATAAGGCCCTATCAGGTACCTGTTAGCAAAGGCGAACGTTTAAGGCATTTTGAAATGTGATTGTAGCTTGCTGTTGCATACACATGTCAATCTAGTGAGGTAACACGAAAAACTGCCAGCACAGATTGACAAAATGTGCAAAGTTCTTGAAAAATGATCAATATTATAATTTTCAGAGGGTACGCCGAGTTTACAAAGTAACACGATCTGTCTTTCACTTATCCTCTGACTTCTGTTTCACCCGAACAAGGCTTCTCTGAAAAACTCTTTCTATCCACCCACCATGATGCCTTAAATCCCTTAGATAAGCTGCCCGGATAGGAGTTGGATGGAATATCAAAATTCTGGTGCATAAAAAANAAAAAACGATAACCATCGAAGATATGATGCTTGAACTCTGTTCCAATAAAAGAATTACAACTTCATGCAGCCTAGCAAAGTATGTACTTGAGATGGCGAGCAATAAAAGCCTAAACACCCCTTCTCGTTCGGTGCCAACGAATATGCACTGAGAAGAAAGAACCTTCATGGGAGCCATTGGGTACGCAAGTTTCTGTGACGCAATGAAAAACTATGCTTTACAGTGATGAAAGATGCACCATGTTCATGTCTCAACTGGACATTGCTCTACTATAAAAAATGGCATGATCTACTATAAAAAGAATGGTATGGTCTACATACCTACCTGGGGAAGTCCTGATAACCATTGCCGGAAATTTTCAACGATAGAGTCGAGAGAGGAAGCTGAAGTCATGAGCTGTTTGCGAAGGTGAACTTCAACAGTGCCCGGACGAGAGCCGGATAAATCTTCACCTTCCTGAAAAGATGTAATTTATTCTTACACGAATTGGGTAGTTTTGTCGAAATATTTACGCAAAGTTTACCAAGGCTGCTATTTTTCCAGGTTTGAAGATGAAAAAGAAGAAAAAAAAGAAAAAGAAAAAAAGAAAAAATTGCAGAACAACTGAGAGCTACCAAGCCTGATCGAAAACTCAGACTACCACTATCGGAAGACTTATGATTTATAGCCTCCTCGTCGGATCCAGTAATCAAAACCAACTCCTTATTAATTTCAGTACAAGTTCTAGGCATTAATGCTTGCCATCTTGCCTGTCAACGTATGTGTACCTTTTTCGGTGGATGTTTCAGGATTACCAGTCCCTTTTAAAGCCTGTATTGGTTAAAGGCGAAGGGCGAGCGTGTGAAATGCTCCCACTCGATAAAATCCCGACTTACAGGAGAAGCCAACGTAAACCAATCAAGGAACTATATTCTAGGAATAAGAAACCTTTTTACAATCAATTTCCTACTAGACAAAAGCGAGTTCCACTCTAAAGATGCGCGGTACGCGACTCACCTACGTCTGCTCTCATTTTTTAGACTCTACCAAGGTCTAGAGCTTTGTTTGAAAAGTTTCCAGAGCAATCCTTCTACATGTTATATTCCGAAATTTAAATGGTCCGGGAAAAAAATTCTAGTCTAACCTAAGCTTTATGAAGATAATCGTGTAGCGATACTAACACAATCAGGTGGCAGGTCGGATGAAAGCACAGCAAGAAGAAACTGTATAGTTTTCTAATAAACATTATACATTTTCGATAGGCTATGAGCCTTGCACTCGGCTTACTGGAAATAGTAGATAAGGTTACTGCGAAATAACACAAATTTCTGGTCAAAATTGGGATGGTGGGCCTGCAAATCGATAGAATTTTTTCTGCTAAAAAGTCTTCAAAAAGTTTGTAATAGGAAATGACATAAGGGAATGGTTAGGAAGCGCACCATGCGCTTAGGAAAGTCGCAAAATCGATCCCTTGTGAGTCAAGGACCATGCCGTGCAATGAGGAGAGATAGTGTTGAAACCATCGTCAGGTCAAAGTTGAGGTAACGGTTGGCAGAGAACCGTTCACGAAAATGATTTGAGTCACAAAGCACTATGTTACAAAGCTGGGAGAGAGTCATGAACAAGTGAAGGAACCCGTACTCGAGTCCTTTGGAGAGCATATGAGGGCTGCAGAGGAGTGAACGACCTCAGGAGAGGAAGCTAATTTGAGTAGGGAATCGTAAAAGTTGCGAGGGTATTGGGAAGTCTCGAGGTGTTGTTGATCTGAGTAAGCGTATAAAGAGCTATGCTCTAGTCTTAAAAGAGCGCAATTCAAAGGAAGCAGTGCTGGGAACCTTGAATAAATTTTAAAGGCACGGTTCACATTAAAATGGTTTTTGAGTTTTCCCCCTAGGAATACTCAGTGCCCTTCAAGAGTAACAGGAAAGACGTTGTCGAGTCCCAAAACTCTACATCTAGGGCATAGTGGGAGCCCAGGTATCGGATCGCCCGGACTTCCAGCCCCTCGATCGATGTCATGTCAGACGAGTGTCGTGGCGATACAGATTGCAATATCCGTTCTAGGGCCCACTCGCAATCAGCTGATCGCTGAGTGATGGGACGTTGTTTTACTCAAATTCCTTTATTCTCTGTTAATCTTTTTGCTGCTGCGACCCTACTTTAATTTTCTACCTCAATAGGCTGTAAAAGTGAGCTATCTTTGTTGTTACTAGGGTTTTTTTTGTTAACTTACGCCTATGAGTGAATGAATTTTTGCTTACCGTAGTTAGCTTTTCGCACCAAGACCCACACTTACGCCATGACACACTGCTAGTCCAAACGCCCCATCCTTCTTCATTTTTCTTGTCTCATTCTCGTCCAGCCCCCTTTTTAAAGAATTTTCGAGGTTTTTTTCCCACTTTGGAAACACCGATTCACGCAGTTTCATCGCATTCATCGCACCATTTGCCATATTATCTGCCATTTGTCGTCATAATCTGAATTATCTAAAATTGTCGTGAACTGTGCCTTTGATTCCACACTGAAATGAAGACAATATCAGACGAAATGGCACTGGCGATGGCAGAGTTTCTCGAAGATCCTGCCTCGGCTGTCAAGAGAATCACTGCTGAAAAGCTGTGAGGATAGACACGAAAGAGGGACCTGATTGAACATGAAGAATAATACCCGCATACGCAGTGCAAGTGATTACGGAAAGGATGAGCACTAAGCGTGCTTGCCATTAACATCTCGGAAGGAATCCTCTCATCACATTTTGGCTAGCGAGCCAATGGAAGTCGTAACCAGTGACGTGTAATGTTTATTACGACGCGTTAGTATAAGAATCGACCATAATAATTCATTCACGGGGTTTATATACACAATATGTGGGCGGTCCTCAGATACCGTATCACCATTGGACTTTAGGGGGCCCGTGGCGGTACTCAAGCTCAGGGGATGAAAGAGCGAACCGCGCCAACGGCAGAACTTAAGTCACCTACTTGATTGCACTTACGATACCACCAGGTCATGCCTGTGGTCTCAACTCAAGAGATGCTTACGTCAAGTTATGCCTATGGTTAATATGTTGAACTAGCGTGTTATCCATCATTCTTGTGAAGGCTAGTTCTATTATAAACATAGATATGGTTGTGAAACCACAACACTGGGGCGGGGCGAAGTAGCGGTAGCTACATAGATGTGCATAATAACAGTATTGCTTACGTAAAACCTATTGTGCAATACAATTACAATATTAGAGACAATCACGTACCAAATTAACGATGTGATTATTACAACTTAACTTTCATTATTCACGAGTATTTACGAATGGCTGTCGTTTGCAGAATCGCCGTTCGCTGGACACGCTGGTGTTGAGAGGAGCTTGGTTCTTAGCAGCTCTTGGTGTCTGTCGTCTCACGAGAACGTCAGCATTCTTCCTCGATGATAAAGACGGTTTTCTTTTAGGAATAAGTCGATCGGTTTGTTTCTGAGCTATTCTCCCTGTTGATGCTCGGAGTATGGCGC